TAGCCAGAACTGACCCGACACACTGGAGAGCAGACAAGCTTCTTCCCATCTCAGAACATCTGTGGGAGAGATGGAGCATAGCTCAGCTGGGCCCTGTCACCTCTAGGACAGCAAGAGAGAGCAATAACGTGCATTGTTGATTTAGGTTCCTAAATTCTGGGGTTGTTGTGAACATAGCAATAAGTAAATTATATTTTAGGGTGTAATCTGGTTTTCAGAGTGCTTGAACATGATATTTTCTAGTTAGAATTCACATTAATTCTGTTAAGAATCATCACCAATCACTGATTTGGGTACAAGGAAAATGTCCATGAGTGGTGACTGCCTCGCCCTGTGTCACAAGGTCCTTCATCTGAGACATAGATAAACCACAACCAGGTCTCTGGCACCCCAGCACAGCATTCTTTCTATAAAGCGGTGAATAGTGTTGACACTCACTGTGTCTGCTGTGCTATGTAAAGCACTATGGGAATGTAACATACGTAATCTCTGTACAGTGCCCTGTTGTCATCTTCAAAGCACTCTTCAGGTCAATGTCCCAGTTAAGACGACTGTGCAACAATGGATCACCCCAAAACGTACTGGCACAGAAAAATAATCATTATTATATTTCATGATTTCTGTGGGTTAGAAATTCATAAGCGGCCTAACAGCATGGAAACCACTTGAAAATCCACAGATAGGTTGAATAAAGAAAGGTTCACCTATACTAAGCAAGGATGGGCAACCATTAAAAAGGATAAATTAGCAGGAGAACTGCATGTGCCAAATTGGCAAGTTTAACAAGAAATGATAAAATGATGTATATTGTGAGAGTATAGTCACCTAAAAAAAGGGAATCCCATATTTGTGTGTGTATTTGCATCCATTTGCAGAGATGGGTAGAAGAATATTCTTTGAATAAGTGGCTCGTAAATCTTGGGGACAAGTTTGGAATGGGGTAGATCATTAATTGTAGAAAGATGGACAGAATATTGGTGTCAAGTACACACTTAGACATCACTCTTATGAAATCTCAACAGTGATGAATACATAAAACTGTGCTGATAGACCCTCCCTGGTGGAGAAATGGGTTAAGGCACAGCACTGCAAGCTGGCCGCAGCCACTTCAGTGCAAGTTTGATCCTACCCCCATCCCCGATCAGGTGACCCACACGGCGGAGCAGACCGCTCCTGACCCGCCTGCTGCTCCCCTCAGCAGTGTACTTTGTCAATCTGTCTGTTGTGCTCCCCACTCTGTCTCTGGTGAATCCTCTCACCACCCCTGCTCCTCTGCCACCCCAGCCTGGCACTGCCCCAGTTCTGTATTCATAAATAAATAAATCTTTAAAAAACTTTTGCTGATAAAGAGAAGCTTCCGCTTTAGGAGGAAACAGTTTCAGAGGCTCCCTTTTCCCAGACCCGAAAAAGAAGATGCCAAGGTTTGAAGGAAAGCTATAGAAAAGACTGTTTCTGGTGGATCCACAATCAGCTATCAACATGGATGACAGAATGAGGTGACATTGTTTAAAGGGAGAAGATGATGTCATTAATGTACAGCCCTGACTGGTTCAAACTGTTAGCAAGAGGTTTGCTGCGGATCCTGGGCAGGTTTGGAGGGTTATTCAGACCCCTTGCTTGCAGTTAGCCCATGGCCATTTCTTAGGGAATATTGATCAAGAGTACTCGCCTCTACCATGAGGAGCATAATGCAGTCGCTGAGTATTCATGGAAAAAAGCTTTTCTTTGCCAGGCTATTTTCTGAAGTCAAAAAGAGCCTTTCAGGAGCTATAATAGCAAGGCCCTTCCTACTTCACACCCTCAGCAAGAGGCACACTCCAATTTTCAGAACCCCGGGACCCGACACAAGGTGGTAGCTGATGAATATGACCTCTTTGTATAAAATATTCTCTGCCACTCAACAAGCATTTTGCTAGAGGGAAAGGTGGGACATGATAATGGAAAATTAAACATTAAAATTATACCTGGACACACAGGGAAACTTACTCTTGTCCCAAAGATTATGATTTCCTAAAACAATGTTTTCAATAAAATTTTCGATCATATGCATAATGTTCTCTGATAGCCAACGGCAGTATTTCAATGTAAATATCAACAACAGTCTGATAAATCTGGCTTTTCATGTTTGTCAGAGTACAGGGGGAAAAATGTTAACTCGGGCTGCCTAATTTCTCTTATCTTTGTCCAGTGAGAGGCAGAATCTTCCAGACAAATATTTTTTAACATACAGCTTGTTACAATATTCACTCAGGCCCCTTACCTTAGCCAATTTAGTTTAGGGTAGTGAAAACTTAGTTATTCCGTGCATTTTTATTTAAATTATTAATAAAAACAACAACAAAAAGCAATCTCCAAATTTGGGTTAGTTCTTTGGTAGTATTTAGAAGGGCATCATTTCAGAGTTCCTGCCATTATTGGTGCTGCTCTCTGATTGTTTGGAGAGATTTGGGGGCAGAGGTATTATTTAAGATGTCCCTGACTCCCTGTGTTGTCAGCTGGTTTTGTTCCATTATCAGGGGGCAATAATGTGGTTCAAGCTGCAGTAGGCACAAGCTAAGAGCCCCTGACCTTGGTGTTGAATGCAAGTCTCTTTTCACTTCACTCAATGGCAGTCCTTATAGCACTGAAGGATAGCTATGCCTTCACTTCGTTCTCTTCAATTCCGAAAACATTGAACAGAAATGAACAGAAAATTTTGGCCAAATGGTTGCAAGGGCTAAATCCCTCTGTGCATCTGCATGTGCAGAGAGAAGTGGGGGCTCTGCATTGTTGCAAGCTGGCCCCCACATCAACACCACCATTTATGCCCTGACTGCCTCCCACTGGGGAGTTTCAGAATCTGGTTTGTGAGGTCTAGATATAAGCAATGTCTTTACAGAGATTCATTATCCAGTGGTTTTTGAAGACAAAATGAATTCCAGCACCCTCTTTTCTTGTCCCAGAGAGAGTAACTGAGTCTCCTGTTACAAGTTTCCTGACATTAGATGACCCTGTGCTTGCTCTGTCTGGCCCATGTGAGAAGAGGGTCAGTTAACCTTAGGGAAACTTCACAATGGCCAAGAACACAGAACTACAATTTCAACAAACAAGCTGGTTAAGAACTGTCACTGCTTCTAACTAGGGGTGTGGCCACTCATGGAGTCCAGGAAATTCAGCTCCTGCCTGGAACAGCACTCTACTGTGAAGCCAATGGGCCACTATGGTTAGTCCTGGGTTTTGGTATCTGAGTTTGGTGGCTGGAGTGCAGGACGACCTTGGGTAAACCAGATACATGGGGGTGCAGTTTGCTGCTTGTCTGTTTCCTTACCTTTGCTTTCGATTTGAAAAATGAAAAGCAGTTAAAACAATTTCCATTTGTAGAAGAGAAAATGCTAATAAGTCCTCTTGACATCTTGTTTAGCACATCAAAGTGGACCCAATTTAGTTTATTTACATACACAGACCATAATGCTAGCTCAAATGTGTCCAGAGGTGAGTAAATACAAATGTCCGAGTCTTATTGCTAGTAGTCTTTATTTCTGGAATATTTAGAGAATGATGCTATGGCCAAGATGTACCTTGAGAGTATTCTTTCTTCCAATTCTGCACCTCTTGTAAGTCAAGAAAGGCCGCGGAGGGCATTACATATGACAGTCATTCTTTTGGAACCTCTGGAAGTTGGATTCTTTTTGGAATTCTGCTGAAGGTTTTGCAAGATATGGTCTAAGATTTGATGAATAGTTTTTGAAGGTGACCTGGATTACTTATAGGGTATACATGACAAGGAGACAGCCCCCCACCTTCCTTGGTCTAAATAAGACAAACTGTTTATGAGACTTTCATAACCATATCCTTTGATATTCAAACGGCTATTTCCAGGCCTGAAAAGAATCCATAATTTATCCTGGCAGGTACAGGGCCTCCAGAAAGTGAACTCACTGAGGGGAGAAGAGGACACATCTGCAGAGCAGGCGTGGATACCTCTGTCTTCCTCTAGTGTTCCCTTCACTCCAGGGTAGATGCGTCAGGCTGGATGAGAGGGAGTTGCTGCCCACATTACCTTGATGGGAGTTGGGTCAAGCCCCTCAACCCAAGTCAACCTGTAGGTCAGAATTCCCAGCAGACCGGGAGCGGATTAGGAAATACGTATGCTGAAGTTTTGCCAAAGGCCTGGTGGGTCAGAATCAAGGCAAAGTGTGGGGCAGTAATCTTGTAAGCCTTCCTGAAGGATTCTGATGCACATAGTTGGGAAATACAGCTTTCAGTCAAGCAGAGCTAAAATTCTACCTCAAGTGGAATTTCCTCCTCAAGGAACCAAATATTTAAAATATGACATACCTTGAGGCAAGCGCTTGCAACCAGTGAAAAATTAAAAATCACCAAATTCAGGCTCTATTTGGCTCCCAGGGAGGCACCTGTTACTTCCTGAGGTAACTGGAATGTTTTGGAAGTACTTTACTAATATTTACTAAATGGACAAATGGGTGCTTTTTGGAAAGCTCAATTTGTCTAATGTCCTAAAAGTCCATAGCTGTCCGGAATATGGGCAAAGCCCAGGGAACTGGCAGAGGCTACCTGGCCAGGCTGTTATAATGTCAGGCTGATATTACCTCTTGTCTATTCACAAAGATACATACTCAAAAGTCTTGCTCAGCGGGCTGGAGTTCATATGGACTTTGAGAAACTGCAGGAGACACAGCCTGGCTATATAATCATGAAGAAAACACAGAATTACACAGGTGAGGCAGACAATGCTTGGATTCTGTCCTCTTGTGGATGGATCTTAACATTCTGTATGATGAGCTGAGAGGTCAATTTTGCATGAACACATTTGTCAGGTTCTCTGGATTGGTGCTGACTATCATTTTGAATAACTATTTGGGCTTTGATTAAAGAAATTATATTTGAACAACTTCATTGGATAAAACTGCAAGCACTCTTAGTCAGAGGACAGGATTAACTTTGTTTTTCCTACAAGCTATAATGAAAACAAAAGAAACATTGGCCATAAATGCTGTGTTTCTACTTTATTAAATCATCACAGTTATTAGAGTTTAAAGAGAAAAAGAGGACTGAGAGTTAGGTGAAAAGCAGTGTGCTTTTCCAGCATTTCACACTTCACTGGCACACACCGGCCTGCAAAGGTGGGTTATATGAAGGTCAGTACTACCAAGGCACATACCTAGGTGTGGAGCATTAGGAAAATTAAATAACCAGATAGCGCAATAAAATCAAATGACACACTATAACTTAATTTACCATATTTATCAATTTGCTTCTCTATTTACATGTACTAAATATTGTAGACCAGAAAACATAAGAAACATTCACTTAATGTATATGTCATACATACATACTGAGTGCAACTAAAACAATGGTTGTTTCATGTTGAACGCCCCTTCAGCTGCAGACATTCCCCTTCAGTAGATAGAATGTAACAGATAGTCACATAAAGACATCACAGTTGATTTTAAAGGATCCCTTAAACTCCCAGGTGATACAAATATGACAGGAAGTGAAGTGCAGGCCGTGACACCAGAGGAGGAGCAGGAAGATGTGATTTGCATTGTCTACAGATCCTAGCGATCTTGTGTGTAAGGCTAAGGGTTCAATGCATCAGCCCCTCTCAAAGTCAAGGCTTAAACCCCTCCTTCCCTGTGGCTCTTAGGAACTCAGAGTCAGTTAACCAGCTGCATAAAGACACTGGGACAGGCATTTGCTGAGGTTAAATTTCTTCCCTCAGTCTACTAATGGTTGCACTATTCTTAAAAAGTCATCATTTCATGGAATTACTATTTTGTTTAAGTGAAAGACCTATTCATACCATATTGGAACAGCAGCTTTATTTTAGATGGACATCAGCAGGCCAAGGGGAGGAAACTGTCCTGGCCCTGCCTGGACACCAGGCTGTATTATCTATTTTGGGCCCATTAGGGCCACTTCTGTTTACAGAAGGCTTACTAATGTGATGAGTCAGCGCTGTGATTCAGGCCGGTCCCTTCCACAATTTTGCTGAAAGGCATTTATTACAAAAACATAATATTTGCTTTTCTAAGTGAAAAAAAAAGAAAAAAAAAACACTTATCATTTCCATTTTTTCTACCTAAAATACAAAAACAATTCAGGTCCAGGTGATTGTAAGCAAACCTGGTTGTCATTCCCTGCTCCCCCACCCCAAACCTCCAAACCTATGCTGGTACTGAGAACCATGGGACTCAGAAAAGGCTCCAGTGCCCAAGCTGCTGGCTGTAATGTGGGGGTTGCTAAAATCCTTGAGAATTACAGGGACGTTGAGCTATTTATTAATGACAGCTGAATTCTCCACTTTAGGGTAAGGAGGACTAGTCCCCCTTCCTCACCTTCCTTGGAGCAAATGGGAAAAAGTATGGGTCAACTCCCCAGTTAGGGCTCTGTAGCCCTAAATTCTGTAAAATGGGAAATATTTTTAAGGCGCCGCCATGGCCCTCTAAGCAGCAGGTAGCAGAACACAGCTCAGGGTGAAGCCCTGCAGGCAGATGGGCAGGACAGGGGTGTCCATCACTGCCTGGCGCCTGGCTAGCTGGTACCTCCAGTGTCCACTGCTCCGGGAGGCCTCCTGACTGATAGATTTTGCAGGGACAGGACCTGACATTTCTAGAATCATCTGAGTGCTCTGCGATAGGAGTTTCACTGTCGTGATCTGTGGATCCGCCAGCATGGTCGGGTAAGCCTTTCCCCAGTTAGGGGGCATCAGGCACCAGGTGGAAAAACACTCAGCAACTGAGGTAAAACTTCTCCTGGGCAAAAGACCCTGGGGAAAGCCAATTTCCACGATGATGAAATTTTTGAGTTAATCATAAATCCTAACATAGGAAGAACTAGCAAAATAACAGAGAAAATTCCTCATTTGACAGTTGTTTTGCTGATCCCTCTGTGAATCATGCTGGGGTTTAAAAATGAGTGGAAACAACTGGGGTACAGAAACCAGTCACCCTCCCCAAGCCCCAAATCTTCTCTTGTCTGTGTGCAAAGCAGCCACAACTATATGCCAGCGTGGGGGAAAGGGTGTCTCTGATTTTTTTTTTCTTCTTTTGAAGTATAATATTTGTGAGGTTCCAGCGAAAGATGCCAATGCCAAGTTTGAAAGTAAAATTTACAATGTTTTGTGGGATTCATCCTTTGCTGCAAAAGTCCATTAATGGGAAGACTGGCTGAGGACATTTCCAGAATGGCTATGTTTTCCAGAGTCTCTGGGTTTGAGGGGTTGTTTGGCGGGGGTGGGGGTGGGGTGTAGGGAATAGGGGATGTCTTATCCGTCTCCTCACCAAGAGGCACCAAGAGGTAGGCACTCGCGCTGGCAGCCAGGGCCCTGTAGAGGAAGCAAAGAAAGGTCATTACAGTTTCATGAGGCAAGGTGCTCATGGACACAGATTTGAGGGAGGATTTGTGGCACTCAGAAGGGAACCATACCCCCAAGGAAGGGGATTCCATGACCCCTGCACCTCTCAAGCAGGGATGTTTGCTTAATGAATCAACAAATGAAATGTCCTGGACTTTGCTTTGGGGTTTCCTGCAAGCCTACAAGATGCTACAAATCTTTCTGGAATTAATTCGGCCTCACTGTCCCCCATCTGAAGCAATGAATGAAGAGAAAGGTATCTGATCACAGTAAAGGGAGGAGCCAGGGGAGCACATGGCCTAGAGTCAATGGAAAGCAAGTCAAACTTCACGGGCAGCACTGGTGTTAGTATTTACACACACGGGCATATTGCTATTTTACACAATGAGTTGTGACTCAATGAATCCCCAAACGGTCTGAGATGAGAGGTCAGGATTAAATTGCTTGTCTGAATGAATCCAGATGAGCGTCCCACTATTTAGCACTGGTGGGAAAAAAAGAATAAAATTAAAACCAGAGCGGTTGCATGTTTGTCCTCCCCCAGGGCAGTCGCCAGTGTGCCCAGAGGAATACAGGAATGCCTGCTGCAATACTGGGCCACTGTTGCCGATGAGCCTGCCTCCCTGGGGCAGTTCTGCCAGTGAGAAGATCATTTCATCACCCTTCCCCTTACCATCTATTTTTAAACTTTATTGTATGACACCCTAAGCTTCTGGGTTTGGAGCAAACCTCAAAAGCGGGATTTCTTTCCATATCCCCATATACTCCCATGTCAGGGGTTTGGTCTTGGAATGCTTATTATTATTGGCATTTGAAGTTAATTTGTGGAAGACATTTCATTCCTAGACAACATCTTTTCAGTTTTACTGACCCGACCCTGTTGGTTCTAGGTAGTGTCTCAAGTCAAAACTTGCAAGTGTCCTTGGACCTGGGAAGGATCCTACGTGTTCCACTACTCAGTGCTTTAATGCCCCAGAGCTGGGGCGTTCGCCTCTTCTCTTAGGACTCTAGTAAGATCAAGAGGAGGAAAGAAAAGTCTAGGCCCTCCCTCCTACTGTTTTCTGCCTTAAAAATAGGCTGCTTTTAACAAAGATAGCACAGCAGCACTGTCACCATGGCAGGCACGGCATTGGCGAAAGCATCTCCCTGCTCCCGTGCAGTGCGAGGGGTCACTGGCATTTACCAGGAGGTGGGGTGGGCAGGAGGGAGCAAGTCTGATTTAATTCCAGATAATATTCCATCCTGAAATGCCTTCACTTGCCGTTGTCTGAGATTTCACATTATGAATTAGGAGCCACCTTACCCCTGCTATAATCAGATGAATTGAGAGCAGGACCCCAAAAAGAAAAAAAAAAAAAGAGCGGTGATGATCAAGGGTGTGCCATGGAACTATTCTGGATTAGAATGGAAAATAAATATTTAATCGCTCCCTCCCTATCCATACACATAGGAAGGGAAAGCAGGGATGCATTTTGAATTGCCATGGCTTGGCAGAGTGGCTGGGGACAGGGGGATGCACGAGGCACTGCAGCAAAGCAGCCTGCCCGTGTCTGGAAGCGGTGGGCCCAACGTGGGAGCCACACCCGCGCTGAGTGCATGCACACAGGCTCCGTGCATTCCTCCAGGCTCACCTTTCTGTTGCCATGTCCTCAACCTGCCAGGGTGCCTGCCTGCTATGCCCACTGTACCCCATGACTGATGGGGAGCCACAGCTGTGGTGTGAGCAGGCGACCACAAGGAGGTAATTCCATCCACAAGCTGCTGGCAGCCACTCTACTGATTCAGCCTCTCCCCACATGCTGGAAGCTGGGCATCTGTTTAAAGAACACTCAAACCCCTTACTGCTTTAGCAGGACACTGGTGAGGCCGTCACATGACACCCTTGGAGGGAACTGTATCGCCCTGCTCTACCTGGCCCAATGTGAGCACCTGGACTTTGTGGCTTGTGGCTTCTGGGGGCTGATGTGAGTGAGTCCAGCTTGGAACAATTCTGGTACAGGGCCAAAGTTGTGGCTAAAGGGAGAAGAACCAGCATCTGGCTAGGAGTGTGGGTTCACTGTTGTAGGTGTTGCTCACCTGTCTTCAGGTGTGACAATGCCTGTCTGGTGCCTTGGATAAATCAAACATTCTAGATCCTAATATCCCATTTCCATTTTTAAAAAAAATTATTTATTTATACATACAGAACTGGGGTATAGGCCAGAGGTGCAGGGGCGGCGAGAGCATTCACCACAGACAGAGTGGACAGCAGAACAGGAAGACTGGCTGAAATACACTGCTGAAGAGAGCAGTTGGCGAGACTGGAGAGGTCTGCTGTGCCCTGTTGATCACCTCCAGGGCGGAGATCAAACTCATGCTTAAGTGGCTTTAGCTTAGTGCTGTGCTTTAACCCGCTGCGCCACCAAGGACCCCATTTCCATTTTTAAGTGAGTGGTATCGGTCCTGGTATTCCACAAGCCACAAAGTCCAGGTGATACGGTTAGTGAGGGCTTCTCCCTCCCATTCTCCATCACCATGGTCACCAGCGCCATCATGCCTCCCTCTGCCTGTGGGCCCAGGAACTGACGCTGTCCCAGTCACTTTGAGAAGGGGATTTTCCTCACTGTGCATGAGGACCTGGACCCCATTCAGAGCAGAAAGGAGAGGCCCACAGAGGTCACACCTGCCCTCTGGGTCTAAACTGCAGCCGATGTCCAGGTCCTCCACCCTCTGAGCTCCCCCAGCTTTTGTCTGCTCTTCCTCCCCCAGCTGTTCCATTCAGCAGCCCTCGGATAACCTGGCTCCCTTTGTGGAGGCCTCCATTAAGGCGAGCGGTCAAAGGGCAGCCAGCACGTGCCGCTTCTTATCGGCCCATCTCAAGATCCTGCTTCTCCAAGCTTGGGCAACAAAAAAGGGGGCGGCCCCAGGTCCCTTAGCTCCCCATGGCCCCGGACACAAAAGGCCGGGTGACAAAGACATTTTCCGGGATGGCAGGTGTTGGTGTCGGATTCCGCCCAGAGTGCACAGGGCAGAAGAAAGGCGAGGCTGGCTGCCCGGGGTAGCACAGACATGCAGGGGCAGGAGTGTTGCCGGGCCCCCGAGAGGGGAGGCGGCACACAGGAGGACTGTAGGGGTACCTCAGCGTAGTCAGCCGGTTAGTAAATTAAACGGCACACCCAGAAAGCAGGGTCGTGGGGGCAAATTCGAGGACATGTCAGTCTTACCTTGCTCCAATATTGCAACGAGATCTTAATTTTACTCTGAAGGGAAAGAACATAAAATCAAATGAATACAGGCCCAGCGCACCCACAGCCCCCTTGATAATGAACACAGTGCGCATCATACATTTACTCCTGAGCTGTCTGATGAGTGCTGTCACAACTTTGGAGAGCATTATTAGCTGAACGTTCACTGAAAATTCTACCTGGCAGGACAGAATTCTAGCTGCTGACACACGTGTAAGTGAGAGATGAAGGCCGCCTTTAGCAGCCCTGGGATGTGTGACATAGAAGCTATGGGAAGCCCTGCCCTTCCTGATTGGTCTAAAACGTAGTCATAGATAAGTGTTTTTAAGACAAGTGCTTGGAATTCAATGGATGATCTGGAAAAGTTATTGAAAGTGGGAAGTTTAAGCTGCCATGCTTCGTTTTACGTTTCTGGTTTGAACACGGTGTGTTAGGATAGACAGCCACTGTCATCTGTGAGGGGGCAGTTCCCAGGGAGGTGGCATCTGCGTGCTGTGCAGAGGACAGTGGAGGAAAAGACTCAGCAGTGTTGAAACTGGGCCCTCCCTCACAGAGCTGTGCGATCTGAGTAGTCACGCCAACTCCTGCTGCACCCTAAAAAGGAACTGAACTTGTCCGTACTTTGTGGCTTTCTCAGTCATCCACACCATCCGCAGCTACCCTAATTTAGCCTGTGCTTGCTAGGGCACTGGGCCTTTGTACACAGCAAAGTCACAGAGCAAACTCTCCCCATCAGGCAGTAGCTGCTCACCTCAACCCCCACAATAGCATCACTAGACCACTGAACCTGGACGAAGGACATTTGTCAGGGACACAGAGTGTCATCTGCAGGTGTGGCCTCAGGTGTGGCTTCTTTGCTGCCACTGTCAGCCAAGGTTGGCATAGTAACTGGGACCAGTTTCTAAGGTGGTGGTTAGGAATCCTCTTAGGAGAAGGACCACTCTGAGATGGGGCTCTCTGAGAGACTTACGTGGACTTGAATGAAACAGTGCTTTCCAGCCTATGGATAAAAATTCATTCCTCATCCTACTTATTTGGGGTTAGGAATTTAAACAGAAATAATCCATAATGGATGATCCAATAACATCCTGGTCTTGCTTGATTTCCAAGCACAGTTAACCCCTTCTCGGCAGGCTAACTGAGCTTGAGGGCACAGAAGCTCTTGGGTGTGTTGATTGTAGGGACCGGACTAGAAAGTTTCCTGATTCCCTATTTCCCCTGATGCTCTGTTGTAGGCTCTGCTTGCTCTCATGGGAGACAACAAACAGATTCTCACGAGTCTTCCCTGAGTCATGCCACTGGCCCTCTCCAGGGTGAGAGAAGGGTCTCTTCAGGAAGGGCTCCTTCCTCTCACTCTCCCCGGCCCCCTGGTTATGCAGGGTGTACGGGCGACCCGATTGGTAGAAACCAAGAAAACAGATGGTGTGGCTAACAATGGACGGCTTGTTTGTAATTGCTGATGAGGACCGGTTTGCTCCTCTCCCGGGTGTGTTCCCAGATGCAGCCTGGTGTGGTGTGCTGGACCAAACAGAATGTCTCAATAACTGCCAATCCGTGGTCGAGTTAAGGAGATGCAAAGACAGAGACAGTGGGGGCTGTCGTAATTATTCCATGGGGCTCAAATGTCACTTGGCCTTGACACACAGGCAATGCGATCAAAAAGGGGGGGGGCTGTGCTTGGAAAAGAAGACTGGGCTGTCAGCTTCTTGATCCATCCCTGGGGTGATCATGAGGTACAACTAACCTAGGCAGTGCTCAAAGCTTCTCGAGCTCACTAACTTGGAAAGAGAACAGGAGGTATATGATGCAGGGAGTGGGTCAGACATAATTATTTCATTCCTTCATTAATGGGGTACCTGACAGGTGCCAGGTACCTAGGCTCTAGATTACAGCAGTGAACAAAGCAGATGAAAGGCCTGCTTTGGAGGACGTTAGACCTGCATCTTAAACAAGGACATCACCCTCTGGGGGACACAATTCTCCTTTTTGTGTGTATAAGTCCCAGATATAAGTGCAGTATATAAGCAGATGTACAGTATTTCTGTGGTGCTGTAGGGGAGGGGACAAATCAGGAAATACCTCAGAAGGCTTCACGGTAGGGCAATAAAAAGTTGAGAAACGTTGGATTAGAGGGTTAACATGTGTCTCTGCTTGAAAGTGTTTTGTATATCAGGGGTGCTGGAAATCAGGCATTTCCTTATTCACATTTAATAGTGTTGAACAAAACCCATCAGGGCAGAGCCTTGGAAGTGTAACTCAAAAAGAGGCCAGTGGGGCCCCTTAACAGCTCAGACAGCAGGAGCCAGAGAATGTGGAGAAAGAGGTCTTACTTCTTTGGCTTTGAGTGACTTCTTTGTTCACCTGGTTACCCACAGGTGAATTAAAAGCAAAAATCAAAACCAAAACCAAAAACAAAAAGCAACAACAGAGGAAACAATAGTTTTGGTTGGAGATTTGCTGTTTTCCACACAGCTTTGCCTAGCAGAAGCCCTTCAAGCTCTGGCAGGCCTTTTGGTGGCCCATTTTCTCTGGCTGTACTCACTGGGACAGCGAAAGAGCGAGGATTTGAACCGAGTCTTATCTCTCAGGGAAGGTTACCATCCAGGACTGCCACCTGGGATAACACTGGGCAGGGTCAGACAAGAACAGTGGCTGCCTCTCCCTGGGTTCTTATTACCGAACAGTCAGTGTGGAAAATGATTAACTGTTCAAGATAATTAGGGAAGAGAATGATTTTGAGAGCTGGCATGGATGAGAGAGAGAAACAGCAGACTAGGGTTCCAGCTTTCGGCGAGTGCTAAATATCCTCCCAGCAGGAAGGCGGACAGAGCTGGAGATCAGAGAGCTGTCTGGGCCATTCAGGCCCCTTGGAATGGCTCTGAGGAAGGGAACAGGTGCAGCAGTGGATGGGGTAAGCCTACACACTCAACTCAACACTGGCAGCCCAAGACCAGTGGGAATTAGCCAGCCTCATTAACATTTCCAAATGGCCCAAGGATGGCTTCCAGTGTTTGCAACCCAGCAGCAGTGCTGTGTCCTGGCCCTGGCTCTCAGCTCAGCTTCCTCTTTTTGGTGACTGGTCTTGCCCATCAACTTTGGTTCAGAAGCAGAAAGCTAGGACAGCTGGACCAAAAGGAAGCGAGGCAGGGTGTGTGTGTGTATTGTGTGTGTGTTGTGTGCACGTGCACCCGTGCAGGGGCTGAGTAAGCAGGTGGAGTATTTGTGAAAACCCTTTCCTGGCCTCCCTTTTCTCCCCCTCCACAGCTTTCATATGCAAGTCTTATGGCGATATTGAACTACACTAAACATTTAACATCTTGGTGTCGACTTTTTTGTTAGACTGTCATGACAAAGAGGTTTCCAGACTTTTTTGGTACCTCATCGAATATGAGTATCAAGACCTCAGTTAACTCTTGATCATGGGGAAAATTTTTATTTAAGCAGACTGAATTCACATCTCAAAATTGGCAAAACAACACACAAACATACTTAGCAGCAATATTCATAGTAGCCAAAAAAATGAAAACAGCACGAAGTCCATCCACTGATGAACAGCCAACCAAAATGTAGTCCACCCTACAATGGAGCATTTGCCAATAAAAAGAAGTGAGATGCTGATAAATGGATACACATGGGCAAATCTTGAGAACATACTAAGTAAAGGAAGCCAGTCACCAAGACCATACATTGCCTGAGCCCAATTTTAAGAACTATCCAGAACAGGCAGATCTAAAAGAGGACCAGTGGCTGCTTAGAGTCGGGGCAAGGAAGGGGGAATGGGCTTCATGACCAATGTGTTTATGGGGTTTTCTTTATTTGTTTTAGGGGAGGAATAAAATGTCCTAAGATGAGATGGTGGTGATGGCTGCACAGCCTAAAAATACTAAAAATACTGAATTGTATACTCCAAGGGGCTGGGTGCTATGGTATGTGCACCATATCTCAAAAATAGACTATTTTTGAAAACGGAAAAATGGAAGATGGTCCAGGCAGCATTACTGTTCCTACTCTTCCTAAAGTTATGATTAACAGAATGTCCCCAAGTTCTAGGGGAAACTAAATCCCCAGGGGCCCCAGCAAGGCAGGGCACTGACTACGAAGTTGAGCAGATGTCATCAGTTCTGTGCCTGAGTCCATACTGCAAACTTCAAGCTCCCTCAAAGCCAAGAAAATAGGCGCCACTCTTCAGGTAACACACAGATCTCCCCATCAAGTCTGTCTCTCATTCTTAGTTGAATGGAATTCATCAGTCTTAAGAAAGCTCAGGAGTGGATCATGCACAAATACCAACTCGAAATGGATTAATGAACTAGACATAAGACCCAAAACCATAAAATATCTAGAGGAAAAGGAGGGTGAGTCACTATATGACATCAAAAACATCTTTTTTTTTTTTTTTTTAAAGATTTTATTTATTTGTACATACAGAACTGGGGTACAGGCCAGAGGCTCAGGGGCGGTGAGAGGCTTCACCAGAGACAGAGTGGGGAGCAGAACAGTCAGATCGACGAAGTACACTGCTGAGGGGAGCAGCGGGCGGGTCAGGAGAGGTCTGCCGCGCCATGTGGTCACCTCCGGGGCAGGCGGGAATCAAACTCATGCGGAAGTGGCTTTAGCTTCTCAGTGCTGTGCTTTAACCCGCTGCGCCACCAGGGAGGGCCCATCTTTATTTTTTTTTAAAGATTTTATTTATTTATGCATACAGAATGGGGGTGCAGGGGCGGTGAGAGGATTCACCAGAGATAGAGTGGGGAGCAGAAAAGGAAGATTGACTAAGTACACTGCTGAGGGGACAGCAGATGAGATAGGAGAGGTAGGCTGCACCATGTGGCTCACCTCCGGGGCTGGGACTTGAACTTTCACTGAAGCAGCTGTAGCTCACTTTCAGTGCTGTGCTTTAACCTACTGCAACATCAAGGAGGGCCCTCAATAACATCTTAAAGATATATCACCCAAAGCAAGTATAATGAAGGAGAAGATAAACAACTAGGACTGCATCAAATTAAAGAGCTTCT